ACTATAAAAGGCTTCCCAGTTTCTCGAGCACTCTTTATGAGAGTTGAGATTGACAAGGTATATAAATAAATAAATAAATAATAAATAAATATTTCCAACACTCACACCAATTAGCCTAGCCCCAAAGTAAGCACTGTAAGGCTTGTGTTATGGGATGCTAGGGTAACGGATAGAATACATATACTGTACATATATAAGTATATTTATATAGAAATACATATTAAACATCCATGACTGGAGTACAAATGCTCGTATTCATCACACAAACATCTGCCCCCACCGGGATTCGAACCCGGGACCTCTCGAGTCGGCGACACCATGAAACCCGGCGTACGAACTAGAACGAAATAGGAACAGTTTTTTAAAATTTGTGTATCTCTTTTTCGATAAAACTATGCACGTTATCGGCTGCATTCTGGGTGTGGCGTTTAATTAAATATTTAAATTCTCTAAAGTTGTTACTGCAAAGGAGTACAATGCTGCCATTGATTTATTTTTATGTTGCCCAGTACAGTCATCCGAGTAAAAGTTATATGTAACTTGGATGTTTAAGGTTTAATTCTCTTAGGTAATCAAAAACACAGGATGCAATTTCGTTTTCTCCTCTTTGAGCCTGCATTTCATCCCAAAAAAAACTAAACGTCATTGGTAGCAGAAGTATTAACATTGACATTAATTTTTCTATTTAGTTCAGTTATAGTAAAATTTAGACAGTTAATTTTTGAGCAATAGTAAAAGTAAGATGGACTTGGACAAAGCATTACAGATTGCAAGTCGTATACAGCACAAATATGAGTTTCGTTTATTCTCTCGCGTTCTCGCTTCTTCACGACACTTGTTTTTTTTCAATAAGATATGTATCGTAGTTAGGCTTTAGTCCAATTTTTAAATCTGCAGGGGTTCATAAGCTACACATGTCTCACATCTGTCTTTCTTTAGCTGATAAAATCCGATATTAAAATCATTGTTAAATGTGTTAAGATACAACCAATATTCTCATTGTGGTCTATTGTTTTCTTTTGTACTTAAAGTCTTTCCAAAGATCTGATATTGTTTTGACTTTGGATATAAACTCCCTACTAGATTGTTTTCTTAAATAATAGGACTCTATTCTAGGTATAGAATTAATATGCCCTTTTATGTCCTGTTTAAGCGTAGGTTCAATTATTTTTCTATTTGTGTGTTTTCCTCGCATGTCTTTGTCTACAAAACACTGGGAATTTGTTTTGTTTCTGACTGTTCTTATAGCTCTATCTGTGATGTCTAATGTGTTAATAAAGAACATTTTGCACCCACGTATTCTATCGTTGTTCACCGAAAAGAAAAATGCAGTATTCGCTTTTCTAGGGTTTCGATCATTAGTATACGTGTACTTAGGTTTAACTTCAAGCATAAAAGAACGAAAATAAGCACGTTGTATGTCAAACTACCGAGTTGCCAATAATGGTTAAATAAATCGAATCTATCTACATCCTGAACCTTATTGAAACATTTCAACCTGCATTCAGGCCTCCTTTACCCGCCGCGCAGAAATAACTTTCTTAGTTTTTGACATAGAAACACACGATTTGCCAGTTTTTCTGAGATATTTGGTTTTATTTTGTTTCCAATTAGATTCATTTCTCAAACGTTTTCTAGATCTAACAGTGTTATCATCTGTTGTATCGTTACTAGACCTAAGATGTGAAGGTGACGGAGATGATGAACCTGTACTACTTGATGAAGAAATACATTTTCTAACGTTATTCAAATAAGTTGGGTCATAGTCGCTCAAATCAACTTCACTTTCATCAGTATGCATGGATGATATTTGATACCAAGATAATGTCTTACCGAGTACTTGGTACATATAGACATAGCGCCGAATGCTCGGCCGAGCGCTCTTACACGAGTTTTTAACTTCCATCACTGTCTCGGCCGAGAAACATTTCACTGTCTCGTCCGTGTATTCGGTACGTGTGATCAAGACATAACATCAACAATGTAAGTATAAGTACCTTTAAAAGTTTCATTTGCATCCAGGTATCATAATTATTCATTATGCGTTTTAATAAAAAAGTAGATATGCTATTTTCAAAAAAAGAATTACTGTTAGGTAGTTCACTTTATTCATAGCTATTTAATTATACGGTAAATTATATATGGTTTGAAAACCGTTTTAGTCGACAGCTAAACGAGTTAACATAGGCCCGTGCCACCGCGGAGAATGTAAATGGCAAGCGTACAACAATTTGTAATTAAACTCATTACTCTGAGAGCCAATCACAAAGTTTGATGGGATCTAGTTCAGTCCATTGGTTTTATGCAAATTGATTGACAGCTGCGTTTAGCTGCGATATACTATTACTAGATGACCCAGTGTACTTCGTATCACCTATCCTAACAACATTACTTCGTTAAAATGCCTAAAACGTCAATTTTTTGACAGGAAAGTAGGTACAACATTTTATATGGGAAATTGAAATTATTTTACTATCTTCCACGCAACTTTTAAAATTTTTCTCACCGTTCAAACCTTTCCTTGGCTACGACAAACATTTCAAAATCAAAATCTGCTAAATCGGCCCAGCCGTTCTCGAGTTTTTGCGATATAAACGAACCACAATTGATTTTTATATAAACACCGTGAATTTGAGTGAACAGTACCTCTAGCATGAACCATTATCGAATTCGAATAGTTTGCAAACCGAAATGTCAATGTCAAATTTTATATGGAAACTTGAACAGCAGCGCCACAAAGTTCGTAACGGGAACTAAAAATCAGTACACATTTGACAATGACATTTCGGACTCGCAAACGATACGATTTCTATATTGGTTCGTGCTAGGGGTACTGAACAGTATTCGTGAAATGTTTTTCATCGGTAAAGAGGATATTTCTGTGCTTTTCAGCTGCATATCGCGACTGAAGGCGTTTTGATCGATCCACTCTCTTTAGTATATCGATGATAAGCAACGAGCTTCAGGTCTTGTCTTATAATACGCAACAGAGTCCTAGCGGGAATCTTCATTTCTGGCGTTAAGATATTTTGATTTCTAATCGGGTTCTAACAGCACGCCGCCGCCCCGATCTTTTCTGGTCTTCGACATGCGAAATGTTGTTGTATCTGTTGATAGTACGATATACGAACATACGGCTGATACCAAGCTTTTGAAGTGTCTGGAATATGACCGACGGCTCCATACCCACTTTTATAATGAACACGAAAAAATATGTAAAATGGCGCAAAATCTAGAGAAGTTTTTAATATACGTGTTCGAAATTCAAAATAATGAAAAAGTTAAATAAAAGAAAAGTTTTTATATAACAGTATTTATGGTCAGGCTGGTTAGCACTACCTTTTGGTGTTTCTATCGATGAGTAAGGCTCTAGGCTCCTTTTTATATTAGAGCCCAACAGTACTTATGGTATTAGAACCAATCCTGTACGGAAAGAGGTTAGAATACCATAACGAGATCTCTCTGGTATTTCAAGCTCCTATTCAAATTGGTCATGTTTTTTTTTTTGCACCCATCATTACAGGGCGTTGCAAGCTTTCGTGCTTCCCACCACTAACTCCACGCATTACCATTTCCTCCAATTAATAGTTGTACGTTTTCCACCTTTCCATTCCTTTATATCTATGTTCAGTTCAAGGTAACAAGATCACTTTGACGCCATTTTTTTTGTTGTAACAGCTTGATCTTGATTAAATTGTGTGTCGTGAGGTCAGTCGTCCTTATACTTTTTTCCTACCACTTGTTCAGGACATCTTTTAGCCGGCAAACAGAACAGACGAAAGAAACTTCCCAGCTTTTTATGAAGCAACAATATTTACATAAAAATATTTCGTTACCAATACAATTATTCTAATTACATTCTTAACGTGTTACACAGATCAAGAATTTTTAATACCTATGGCATTGTGATAGATAATGAGATATTTCGATCGTTCTATTGGAACGATCTTGGACTTGATTTGCATTGCTTTTGAAGCTTACTTCCCCCGGAGCAACCTTAACAGTAGTAGCCTACGTTGCTAAGGTTGCTGTAAGGATAGAAAAATAAATCTACAATATAGAAGCGGAAACGTAATCTAACCGTAACTTTTGAACCACCCGTGTTAAGATAGGCCCTTTTGGTGAATTAATTAAATATACAATGTTCAAACTTTACACGGAAATACATAATTGGGGACGCAAACACACATGTGCCGTTGGGTTTAATTTATTTATTCCGCATTTATATGCAAATCACTATGTTATTCACGCATTTCCACAGTGCCTGTTTGGATTAACTCCTTTGTAAATGTTTATTTAACGTTTTCGGTTGTATACGCGGAAACGGATCAAACCTTATTGATTTTTAATTCACAGACTCCGTGACTTTTTTTTGTAGTTGTGTATCTTTTTTTAAGTTAATTAAAGCTATACTCACGAATAGTTCTATGGCGCAATGGTAAGCACGATCTGTCTGTTATCGTCATGTGTTAAGTGTCTCACAGACAAAGGCCTGCGGCCGCAGCCGGCGTGACAGCTAGTTGTATTCGCTTGCAATGTATCAAACACGAGCGACCAATAAGGACAGACCGCGCCTGTCTGTGAGACAGTTCTAACACACTACACTTTATCGTGTAAATTAAAGAACTTTGATAATGACCTGCCATAGACCAAAACATTGTTATCTCTCCGTTTTTCAACCGCGGCCGTCATCAGGAAAACGAAATTATTTCTGTATGAGATTAAGATGACGTGATGGGCTTGCGGTGGACAAGTGGTTTGCGTATGTACATATCGCTACTTCGGCGCCGTCATCTCTGTCTTGTTGACCTCCCATTGACTCCTGCGCTGGACAAACAGCCTAACTCCTCCGTTTTTAGGATGTACGTTAAGTTATTGGTCTCAGCTGCATCCGTCTGCAGTCGGTACCATAGTAACAATAATTAAAATCTTTTTGGGAAATAGGAGCTTACTACTAGTATCTGCTACTAATTTTATTTTTAACTCAACACATTTTTCAGAAAGAAACTAAGCCGGTTGGGCAGCAGCACGATCATATCCACTCCACGGCGGAGGTTCAGGAGTGCCGCATCAGCAGCTAGATTCACGATCTTCAGAGCGAATCGTGCTGGGAAGCTACGAGCGAAATCCTTCGCCAAAAAGGAGAAGAAGGCCACACAAACTTTGGCCATAGTTCTAGGCAAGCATTTTTACTGTGAATTTAATGACCAGCAGTGCAAGGACCCCTAATTTGTTGTTCGGTTAGTACATTAAAACACATTAATTCTGATTAATATGTGCTAACATAGTTTTAATGTCACTAACAGCATTATGGATCCTTATTCCTAAGCAAATAACATTTTAAATCTAACTTTCTTTTACTAGAAAAAAAATCTTTTTGGGCCAAGATTTCAGACGGTATTCGAACCCTTATCTTCCGCTATCCGGGCGGGCGCGCTAACCAATTTATGCTACTAAGACTATAAGGGCCGGATAGAATTTCCTCTAGTATTTTTTAGGCTGCAATGCATGGAATTCTTTCTAGTAAAAAAATTCTTTAGATTAAAACATCTAGCAGTTAAATGCTTAAAAGAAAAATATAATAAGTACGTACCATTATCTTAAGATTATTTTTTAAAGGTTCCTATAAAAATGTTACTTTATATGGAATATAGGAAACTAACAGCATTACGGATCCTTATTCCTAAGCAATTTGACATTTTATTAAGATTTATTTCTTTAAAGCCAAATTTAATAATTGTGTTCATAGTAAAAACAAATACTGGTTATTCAGGAACTTGTTAGTAAATATAAATTCAACAGAATTATCACAGAACACAATTAGGATGAATGAATTTATTATCATAGAATGTTCAACTCTTGCAGTTGAATGACTGTCACAAAATCAAAAAAAAAAACAACGAATTCTGTTATTATTGCAATTTGGTAAGTCACTCGCCCTATCATTTCACAGATGAATGGAGACATTATTTTATCTTTATCACTCCCAAACGAGTAACAGCGAAAACCATTGAAATCGAAATGGAAACGTTTCCGATAAAATTGTGAATTGAAAGGCTGAATAAGGTAAAAGTGTCGCCAAATTATAAGTTTCTTATTATTTCTAATAAGAGGCAAGCCAAAATAAAGACGATTATGATCACCTGAATTTGCAGAATGTTAAATAAAAGTTAATATTGTTTGCTTTCTTAAATCTTTTTAATCGACTTTAAAAAGGAGGAGGTTCTCAATTCAGTCGGTATATTTTTTTAATATTATATGTTCACCGATTACTCCAAGATTTCAGATTCGATTTACGTGATTTTTTTTTGTTCTATGGGAGATACTTGCAGTTTGATTCCATAAAAATAAATTAGTCTTTCTAGTTCCATTTTCGATTTAGAAGCCTGTTTTTTTTATTTATTTAACTTGTAATATTAGTTTTAGTCAGACCTTGCAACTATGTTTTTAATCAGTTATACTCAACCGATTGAAATAAATTTTGTATAGGTGACTATATATAACATGATTGGTGGTCTACGAAGCTAAACTAGTATTTTTTATGTACTCCCATGATATGGGTAGGGGAAAACCGTGAGACTTGCTCAGGTAGGAGAGTTGAACCGTCAACCATCCATCAGACGCCAATCACAACAAAATTATCGCATGTGACCAATGAACGAAATGACCTTTTGATTGCGGTTTAAATACTTTACACTACATTTCAAAAGATGGTTCAACTCTCCTACCTAGGCAAGTTTTTCCCTACCTATCAATAAAATGAAAGGATTTGTTGAAATTAATACGAATAAACTAAAGTATGCATTAAATTTTCTTCTTTAAAAACGAAAAAACTTTATAAGTTTTTGTTTTAAAAAAATGATGATTGTGATTTATTTATTTGTAGTGAAATTGACTGACTTCAAGTTGTTCCATTAGCACTTAATGATAGTTGATCCACTTATTAAGTCCGATCAGGGAAACCACTTCCACTACAACTTCCTTTATTAGTATCTCTCGGTTATGTGCAAGTAATTATTACGACAATTTCTTTCCAGGTGTGTTTTTATTCTGTTGGGCGCCGTTCTTCACTTGTTCGGTCCTCGACGCTCTCTGCTCCAAGTTCGATCTGTCATATTCCCCTGGTGTCACGGCGTTCATCCTCACCACGTGGCTGGGTTACATCAACTCCTTCCTCAACCCAGTCATCTACACCATCTTCAATCCCGAGTTCAGGAAGGCCTTCCGCAAAATACTCCATTGCGGCACCTAGCCCTTGGACTTTTACTTCGTGTACAGCTAAGCTTAGTGCCCCGATGACTCCAAATTGTATATATGATTGTTCCTTAGCGGTAGTTTTGTAAATATTAATGTTAAGTTATTTATGTATCTAAGTAGAATGAATTTCATGTGTACGTAACAATGATAAGTAAGTGAAGTATTGGTTTGTAAGAGAAATAATGTATGAAGGATGACTCACGCTACACCGTTCTGGCTCAGAGGCCCCAGTACGAACTTTGACCATAGAGTATAAGAATAGAGTAGGGGCGATATAGACTCTACTACAAGTGGAAGTGTCCCTCTAATAGAAAGAGAAGGAAGATGAGAGACCGCTAGCTTTCTCTCTCTAATCGCGCATGCGCATTGGCAACCGTAAGCATCTTACTATTTCGATGTGATGCCATTGGATGTCATGCGTCACAAGAGAGAGGTCTCTCATCTTCTTTCTCTTTCTACTAGACGGATACTTTTAGAGCCGCCTTCCCCACCACTCTATTCTTATACCTCTATGACTTGGCAGCTCTGTAATCGTATCGTCGCTGTCAAATTTTGTATGGAAAGAGCCAGTTTGTTCTTATGTCCGAAAGGGGGGGCGAAACTTACTTTTCACAGAGACTTTGAAGATGCGATACGATACCTCTGGGCTGGGCGTCGTTCGTGCCGGGTCCGGGCGTCGGCCGTTACACTTTCTACTAATATTACATACATTTTATATGGACATACTCACGCTATACAGAACGGTAACCGAGTGAATTGTTTAAGGCCGATGCTCGTGAGTGCTCGGAACTGTAAAAAAAACATTATTTCACTGTAACTGAGTGGAACCCCAAAATGCGTGGTTTTATACTGCATTATCCGTTTTTTCAAACATTCTACATTTCTAAACAAAAATGTTCAAGGTTTATAAAAGTTAATATTAAAAATGAAAAAAAAAATGGATTTTCATAGATTTTTTTTGTACACTTTTATATCGGAAATTGTTACAACTCTTGAGTTATTTGTTTTTTTTTATTCTAATTAAACATTGATTATGTCATTTTCGGTGGATTACTGTATTGTTTTATACAGTATTAAATATTTCCTCCTCCTTCAGTCGTAGCTCACTGCTGAGCGTCGTGATGTTCCCAACTCATATTTCCTTCACAGAGTTGCTTCCAATTTTCTCTATCTTTAGCGCGGTCAAGAGCCTCAGTGGTGGTGGTGCTGGGACACTTTAATAAAATTAGAAGGATGTCTCAGAGATCAACTGGGACCCTATGTTTCAAGCTTCGGCTGTCAACGAAAAGCTAAAAATATTTAACAATACCCTGTTGAACATTTATGATGTCCACGCGTCCATCATAAAAGTGAAGCTAAAGCGTGAACCAGCTCCTTGGATGACAGCAGGTGTTCAGATGGCGATGAGACGTAGAAATCGTACTTATCGCAGTTATAGAAAGGATCGTTCTGACGAAAAGTGGAAACTCTTCAAGGCTGCTAGAAATCGGTGTAATCAGATGATACGTAACGCCAAACGCCGATATATTCTCAACAATCTTTCTTCCTCATCTTCTGCAGATATCTGGAAGTTCCTTGGAACACTAGGTATCGGCAAATCGCGACATTAAGACCTATCTAATTCAATAAACTTAAACGATCTCAATTCTCATTTTACCACAACCTTTAAGTTGGATCGTGATCCTACAGCAAGCACTGTTGCTTCCATAAATGGTTTAACGCGTCCTAACGTCGACAAACAAAATGTCCATAATTGGGCGCCGTAAACGAACGTACATTTTAGGCCTCTTTAGTACATTTCGATCTCTTCACACTTCTCCAGTTCTGTCATTGCTGATTTCACCATTCCAATGCGTCGTCGGATCTCACTTTCTATTCCACCTTTGTTCACCTTTCGATCCCAAATACACAAAATCTTGAACTATGTTATACTGGCCGAATGTGTAGATATTGTGCAGTTGACTGGATCGATCGATAATCATTATTTTGGTTTTGGACTGGTTGATTCTCAAGCCCATCTCTTGAATGACAGAGTTAAGACGGTTTAGTAAGCCAACTATTCCAGCTTCGGTCTTAGCCAACAGGGTAGTGTTATCGGCATACCTTAGGTATTTGAGAGTCAGATGCCTCCTATCGTCACACCACTACTCCAGTTCTCCAGGGTTTTGCACATGATGTATTCTCCGTATATATGGAACAGTATGGGAGATATTATGTAACCTTGTCTAACACCTTTTTCGAATCTTAATGCGTCGGACCTTCTTGTGTTGATTTTGACCGTGCCATGTCTGGTATCGTAAAGATTCTTGATCAGCACAATTAAATGCAATGGAACTCCCATTTCTGCCAGTACACACCACTGATTAAATCTTTGCTATAATAAATGAGGTATTTTTAGAAGTTCTGGGAAAATTAGAGTTGGTGATTAATGTAATAATTTAACCATTTTTTTTTATACAGGAGTTTACTAACACCACTACACATATACCAAGTAAATACTTACCCCACACAGTTCTGGTTCGAAATATTTTTTATCATTCTGTGTAATAAATCAGTTTTGACTTGAATAGATATAGCGGATGAAAAAAATATTAATATTTATGTGAATATAGCGAATTTAGAACAATTAATGTAAATATCGATAGTCAAACGATAAAATGTAAATCTGTAATATATTATTTAAGTAGGTACCTATTATATAAAATAATCACCTAATAGTATTGAGGCCGTAACGAGAAGCAAAAACACCTGAGGCTCAAACACGAATTTTGACAGCTCTGTAAACGTATGGTCATTGTAAATTTTTGTATGGAAATAGCCAGTTTGTTTTAACTTCCGGAAAGGGCACTACTTAGTTTTCATAGATAACAGAGGTCCACGCACGAATTTTGACAAAAATCATAATATGATTATGGAACTGTGCGTGGGCCTCTGTTATAAAGGAAAGGTGCTCTTGTGAGAGCTGCTTCTGTTAAAAAAAACTTGCTTCCCGTTGGATGTTCCTAATATTGAACTATTTAGATGTTGAATTAATATTCCTGTACCTAATTGCGAGTAATTTAATAGAAAAAATAAAATAATGACCCATCCTCACTAACCGAAAAAAAAAATTTACAACTTTATGTACCTAGACTCAGTGTTGTTAGTTGAAGGCCCAACAGTTATCCATAAAAACAAATAAGTGCCATAAATAACAAGAATAAAAATAACTCAACTTGTTTAAAAAAAATTTTAAAGAGCTTAACATAATTTACTCTCGATTAGAATGTGCTATTTAAAAGTTTTTATCAATTTCAACTTTCAATTCAAAGTGTGTTATAATTATCAAAGTAAATGTTTTTTTTTAATTGATTTTTAATATTTTTTAAAACCACAGATGGATTTTTATCAAAAAAGCCTCTTGTCTTAGTTTATTGTAACGTATGTCAATGTTACATAAAATTCGTATATATTTTAGTCATTTTTTAATTCTGAAATACAATCATGCGTGAAAGTTCATCCTTTTAAAAATACATATTATTTTTACAGGTGACTGTACCTATCGACATAATTATATTAGATATTATTTTATCAATTAAGTATCTTGTCATATAAATATTGACCTAAGTACGTTTGTGGCCAAAGATTATGAGATTTTGTAAATTTTTATTTTAGAAACTATGTACTTAATACTGTTAACGTCACAAAGTGGAAAAACTGAACAATATTAGTAAACAGTTGTATAAATTTTGATGTTGGAATAAATTATAAGTATAACTATGAAAATTAACTTTAATTTACCACTCTCCCTTCCTTGCCTTAACTGATTTTAAAAACTAGCTTTTATCGTGGAGAAGAAGCGCTTGTTTTTTGCTCTATATACCTATCGATAATTTTAGCCAATATATTTTGATCCGATTCGATACAGAATAACCAATATTGGAATAACAAAAAACGATACTTGTTTATTTATTATCATCACATCATGATCCAACCAAATTCGCTAAAATTGAAAAAGTAAAATTTAAAAGAACAACTTAGCTGTAATGTTTTCAGCATTGTTTTATTATTATTATGTAAATTAGTTGCGCTGATGTTTTGTGTTATGCTGACTTTCATTACTTTAATCTGTTGAAGTGCGTGTCTGTTTAGTCTGTCTCACGAAAAAAGGCACCAGGGAAGAGTCCTGTAGTCGCTTTCAACATTCGACCTTAAGCTCTAATACTATTAATAGTTGTTAAGAGGCTTAAACACCATCTCGAGACTCGTATCTTAATACACCTGTGCCTATGTTTTGACACTTATTTCACATTTTCAAAGGCGGCAAGCCCTAAGACATTTTTTCAATACGCGACATGGTTCTATGTGTTATATTCATTTCTTGCTTAAAAGATAAAGCAGGAAATGAAGGCTTCGGACAGGATTTCTTGGAATTGTTTTCTCCACTGCTTTGATCGCATTTTCGTACGAATAAACCGTGGACGGCCAGATCTTTTCGGTCACAAACTGAGGTGGTTTCATTTTGTACCTAACAATAGCCCGGTACACATACATTTCTACTAATACCATGTGAATGAATAGTTTCAAAAATTGCATGTGGCTTGAGACACAATGAATTTTCTTAAAAGAATGTCAAATTCCAAATTCAAAATATTTAGTCCAGTCCATGCCGATTTATTTCTTTGGTCCATGCACGGTGTCCTTAACAATAATTCTACCAAACAGCACCGATTAGCACCATAATTTGGCTGTAGGTTCTAGTCACCCCTTGCTTTAAATCTTTCAATGTGCGTACTTCACGGGGATGAAAATATCTCATTAATTATAAGTATGGCATAAATGGATTGACCAAGTCTAACTTTTGTTCTATGCAGTTTTTACAGAGTCAGTACGCCAATAAAAAAAATAGCTACATTTCCACTCTCGTTTAAGTCTATTAGAGAGTGGAAACCTACCTAAATTTTTCGTGTTACCTATTATTTTATTTATTTTTCTCAAATAGTGCCCAAAACAAAAAAAAAGTGCTCTTATAGGTACTTAAAAAGTTAGAAAAAAACTAAATTTAAAACCACAATAAAATATCTAGACACTGCGCGTGGCACTACACGCACTTGGCCGGTTATTTTGAATATTTGAAGTTGTACCTTTCGATTTTGGCGTTTGACGAAGAAATCACTCGGTTAATATTTGGTTTAGTGATACTTTTAAACCAGTTTTTTGTACAAGTTATATTTTTACTCCGTATGCTTTTTTGTCATAATAATTTTTTTTTACAAATTACTTTATAAAACAGTCTGAAAACGTTCTTGTTGAAAAATTTACGTTTGCCCTCTCGAATAAGTATTGACTTTCAGTAATAACTTTATAGAACAAAAGTTGCTTGGAATTAGTCAATCTATAAACCAAAATTATTTTTATAAAATAATATCCCTATGAAGGGGTGGCATCAACGTCCAGGGAAATAGAAACCCCTTGGCACATTGATCACTTTGAAGTAAAATAAATGAATAAATTTTGGTGCAATTTGGTATAATTGTCAGGTTTGGTCGTTTTTTCCGTACATTGACTGGACTAGATAACTATGAGATAGTATTGTTTGCGGATGATACATCACTTTTATTTAAACTCAAACGCAAGGAAAAAGTTATTGGCGACGTGAACAATTGTATCACTAAGGTAGTCCACTGGTTCAATGTTAACAATTTATTACTTAATGAAGAAAAATGAAATCTATGAAATTTGTATAACCTAATGTAAAACAGGTAAAAACCAGTGTGAATGTAAAGGATAGGAATATGAGTCTTGTAGAGACCACAGTATTCTTAAGGATAACTTTAGATTCTAAGCTTCAATGGGGCTCACATATTGATAAATTGTCAAGTAGACTTAGCTCTGCAGCATATGCCGTAATGAAGATACGCCAGTTAACGGATGTAGATACGGCCAGATTAGTGTACTTTAGTTATTTCCATAGTGTAATGTCGTACGGAATTTTATTGTGGGGAAATGCCGCCGACATTCAAACTATTTTTGTGCTGCAGAAGAGAGCTATTCGATCGATTTATAATCTTAAAGTTAAAGAATCGTTTAGAGATAAGTTTCAAGAATTTGGAATAATGACGGTCATATCACAATACATAAACGAAAATTTATTACTTGTAAGAAAAAATATTAATTTGTCTTCTATACTTATAATAAATCTGTAGAGATGTCAATTCTGTACATGAAATATATTTTTAAAATAACTATCAGGGGGTGATTAGTGATCGATACTGATGCCAAAAATGCAATCAGTAAAATTTTTGTCTGTATGTCTGTCTGTCTGTCTGTGTGTATGTTCCTTATAGAAACAAAAACTACTCAACGGATTTTAACGAAACTTGGTACAATTATTCTTCATACTCCTGGGCAGGTTATAGTATACTTCTCATCACGCAACAATCAAAAGGAGCAGAGTAGTGAAGGGAAATTTTGGGAAAACGGGAGAAGTTACTCCATTTTTTAAGCTTCCGTCGTGTGTGCAGCCTTAATGGTTAAAGTTACAAAGAAATCATGTATGACGGAAATATTCAACATAAAATTGTCTAAAAAATACTGATACCTGCAACAGCATATGTCTATCTTTTATGGTTGACTCACAATAACACGTGTAATTATATAAATAAAGTCATTCTTTATAGCACAAGCCTGAGACCAAAAACTATAGTTTACACTACAGCTCTACACCGAAGCGAAGCGAGGGCGGGCCACTAGTTTCTTAATAAAAACAGTGATGTTCACACACAATACAAGAAACAAAAATAAACCAACTTTACCTGCTACTAGGATTCACAAAATTTATACTTCATTCAAAGATCTTTGCGTTCGCTTATACAATAAAGTTCCAAGCAATATCCAACAGTTATCCATAAATAAATTTAAAGAACTTATTAAAAAAGCTTATTACCTACAAAGTGTCTGATTATATTACAGACAAAAATTATTGGGTTTGAACTGTTCCAATCATTCCAACGGGATTTCTATATTAAATAAAGCATAATTGATTAAAATTGAAGATTTGTAAATCCTACATTAGACTTTTAATGTTGTGGAGTCTTTTTCGCTCGTTTTTCCCCGCAGCAAAAAATATGTCCATAGCGAGTGGTAGGGAAATAGTTATTTGTTCAACTAGAGAGGAAAGTTGGTTTTCCAAGCGAGTGCTAATTTTGAATCCCGAGTAAGCGAAGGATTCTAAGGTACGAGATGGAAATAACTTTTCTCTCGCGTGACACATACTTACAACTTTTCACCTTAGCAGCGAGAACATTATTAGAGATAAAAGGATACAATATGAATAAAAATGAAACCACATATATTTGCAAACAATAAGTATCTACTAAAATTTAAAATTGCAGTTGTTAAAAGTTGTATTTTGAAAATTTATAGTTTTATTAGGAAGTGATACCGTGGAGTTTGCGATTTGAGTTTGACTCGAGTTCGTTTCTATTTCTTTATTGGACTGTGACGAGACAATAATATTAGTAAACGTTGGCGACTCTGTGCAGCTTCTTACCGAATTTTCAATGATATTTGTGTCTTTGGAAGTAGAGGGGCGCGGGTGTGCATAAGGATCAGGTTTAAAGTTTATGCTTTGTATTATGCGTTTACAGGTTTTAGACTTTCGATCGAATCTTCAATATATCCTTCCGCGACCGTGTTTGACTTCCAGCCGCCATGACGTTTTAATGTTGTGAGGTTGGCTCCTGAATCAGCCAAAAGCGTGGCCGAAGTTCGCCTAAAGCAATGTCCAGTGTAAAGGTGAGGCTCTTGTAATTTTAAAAAAGTGGCTATTTGTTGTGGTGTCCCGCCTATTTTATTGATTCCCATAGGCTGTCTTGAACACATCATTACGATACTGCAAGAAAAATCGATCTGTTTTCGTATTATCAGGTCGTAATGCCTTATATTTCTAGACAATTTTCACATATTCGTCGCGAATAACAAAGGACCTGTCAATGTTTGTCTTTGTGTTCGGTAGGTTGACTAATAGCAATTCGTCAGAATGTTTTTCAATGGCGTTAACAGTCAGATTTAACAGTTCGTGCGAGCAGCATGCTCAATTTATTCCAATAATGAGGATAACCTGTAATAAAAATATTATATAAGTAAAATGTTAGTAATTAAAATGTATAACAAACAAAACGTAGTATTTACCCACTTTCTTTACATAAGTAACTCGTATTTTAGTAAATATTAGCGAAAATGGTTAGCGTACGTGCACATATATTACTAATTAAGTATAGACATATAGGTAGTAACTTACTTTTGCAGCGAGAAAATTGCAGTCCGGAGCTTCATTAAGAAATTTTTCAATATTAGAGATTGAAAAAATTTTGGACTTTTTAGATTTGTGTCCTACTGACTTTCTTTTCAAAAATGCAATAAGTTTGGGATAAGTTTCAATATGAACATTATGTTTTGTCTTTATTGTAGCTTTCAACATCCAATAAATACTCCACATTCTAGGTGATTGCTTCATTTGTGATAATTCTATGAAGTACGACAATAATACATTCTCCGAGAAAGTATTCACGCCCTTTTCAAGTCTCCATTTATTGAAAACATCATAGGTTTTCAGATATCTATCACATGATTTCTGAGGAAGAAAACTGAATACAGCATTCAACACTTGTTGTTTTAATTCTTCAGGTGTTAAATTGCTGTTTTCGTCACGAGACTCACTCATATTTTATGAATTCGTGATATTACACTAATTGTAAGTAGTTACTTACCGAACGAAAAACAAAAGAAGAAGAAATAATATTGATTTTTGTTTCCCGCTATTTTTAAAGTTACGTTCTGAAACTGCACCCGTAGTATTCTGTTGTACCAATAAAGATTTTTAAAACTATTAATTATAACTACTTCGTATTTTTTCTAAATCATTTTCTTTATTTTTTCTTTATTTCAGTGTAATCATTATATTTTATTATTTAATTAGATATTTAATTACAACGTTACCAAATAATTTTCATTTTAAAGGTTTATTAGTTTACGAACGTTTTATTGTTTGGGTGTTCTGAAATTTGATAAATCGAACTTCGAATGACGTGTTTCGTACATAATGATTATTCGCAGCATTCTAACCTCGTAACGCCCAACTTCTTTTAATACTAATCATGTCTTACAACCCAAGGTCCTTTTTTAAATCCTAAATTTTTATTGTCGTTCAGACCCAAACTTTGCCAGATATATTAAGATGCTTAGAGTTGTGCAATATAGATGGAATTTCTTTGGCAGCTTATTAGGATGCTAAAGGCTATTTTTGAACAACAAATAGGATTAAAATTCAATTCGCAGAAAAAGTACTTTGGGTATTGGAGGCAATACACATGTGATTTTATTTAATACGTTTAAAAGTACTCTGGGCGTTAAATGCAAACATAATTATGTTTCAGTACGTTGAAAAGGGTGTAGAGTCGAAGTAAATAGCACACAAAAACCAGTTTTTGTAGTAAATGAAACATTAATTAGTTAATTAGAATCTACTCAGCAACATAAAACTAACAATATTTCTTTCTATAATCAGTCTTCAGTAAAAGAAATTAAATAGCAACCCATAATAAAAATAATGTCCACTTATGATTATAAACAAATTCTGAATTTGATAAACCATTTAGCAATATAAAAATAACTCTCTTTCCATAATCAGTCTTCCATACTTGGATATCAAAAAGGTAATATAAATAAAAATAAATGTGAAAATTTAAATTTTTTTTTTGCTTAGTAACACACATGTCCTTCTAGTTTTCTTCTTGCAACCTCGCCTCGCCGACGACATTTGTTCTGTACGTCTGCTATGGCAGGCATGTGCATAGCCCGTCGGCGGGCTATTGGCAATCCAAGTCGGAAATTTCTGCCACGTCTTTTTAAGTGAATTCTCCTTTCATCATCAGAACTACATTCAGATTGGTGTCGTCAGCGTGGTTAGTAAGATATGACGATTCTATTAATATTTCGCCAAACTCCAATTCATATGCCCGAAGTTGTTGGATCTATTTGAATGGAACTTTCTTTGCAATTCCTCGCCAGCGGCATCAAATGGATGCAACTTGATATTAGACTCATTTAGCAACTTGCAAATATCCTGATCTCTCAAAACTAAAAAAAAAACAGGCAGTAACTGCGGTAGATATTGCAATTTACAATAAGAAAAACCAAAAATATAATACCTATATGGCTTTTAAGTAGTTAACGCTCGAGGTCCTTTTTTTGTATCAATTACTTTAGGTATTAAATATCGTTAATCTATTGGAGTAAATAATAAAAGAACGGTTTCAAACAATGACTCATACAATTATTAATGAAATTGTAATAAATTATCACTTTTAAATTAAAAGATTGTAGAAATATTTTACGATTAGTTACGTGGTGTCCGTTTGTGTGCCAAGTCGTCAAACTTTGGTAAATGACTTTGACAGTTGTTTTTTTTTAATCCACCTCAACTCGCGCCCATTGATAACAGCCATCCCAATACTTGTATTTTTTTGTTGGTTATACTCAGAGCGGCAAATTTAAATCCACAGTATCGCCAAAACGGTTTAATCGTTAAAAAAGGACCGTGGGCGTTTAGGAGTATGAGTATGTATGAATTGTTGGGCCTGTAGGCTATGTTTGTTTTAGTATTTTATTAGGGACCTCGGGCGTTACGAGGCTAAATTCAAATCACTTTCCCTCACTCTCGCAGGGAAAACGCGTTTCCTTCACTCTTATTAAGCAGGGAACCTACCTAGTATGTTTGAGCTGCTAAGGTGAAAAAAAATTTTTGACGATTCAAAAGAGTTGTACTGTACATACATCCAATTTGAATAAAAATATATTGATTTCTGATTTCTGACTAATTACGTTTTTTATTGTTACGTAAAGTATATAGGTACCTAAGTAATACTTTACAGCGAATGTAATTAGAAGTGAGGTGGAGTTCCCCAGGAAGAGCGGTACTCCAAGTTGAGCGAGGATTCCGCCACAAGACCTCACTTATCAACCAAATTAAACAAATAAGGAAAACCCAGTTTATAAGCATCTCTCAATAATACATTTTTATTATTATAATATTTAACTGAACTAAAGGAAAAACTGTTTATGGAATGCAGTTAAAATCTTTCTATTTTTAAATGACCAGTAGTGCCATCTATATAGACATTCAGTAACAAGTCAACTATGCTTTTAGATAATAGGTCTGTAGGAAATTAATATTTTTCATCCTTTTTATATTTTGTTTAACTTACAGTAAACTTATTGAGTGGGCCGTGTTATTCCATAGGCATTAAACTATATCATTTAAATCTCTCTGAGCTAGATTTTTGTTGCATTAATTTTAAATTAGGTAGTGCATCAAGCTGTCGCCTACAATTAAATCCTCTCAATACTTGGAAATGCATTATTTTTAGGTATTATGAAATGAAAGTTTTAAAAGATAAGGAGTAACAACTTTCAGAGCCATGAAATTATAAAACATTGAGATTCAATGTTTGTGAACATGGAACTGAACAACACGGCTGCTATTTAGAACACGAGTGGTAAGTAAGTCACTAAGACCATAAGAGATGGCGCCACTTGTTTGGTAAACAAGAAAATGTATGTCACGCCCCTTTAAGCAGAATGATGTATTTACATTAATTCTTGAAATAGAAACTGCTCCTGAAGTATATGATTGAAAATTTCAATTCATCATTAATTCAATAAAAGTTTTATTAGCGAATTTTCTTTTGCAATCGCAATGCAACAAGAAAATGACGTTTGTTTTGTTTCAAAGCTATCAAATATGAGAGTCATGTTATCCGTCTCGCTCACCCGTTGGTCGATTACCGCTGTGTTAAAAAGAAAGAAACAATATTATTCTTGCGTTTCAAGTACAGCAGTCTTTGGTATCAGCTGACAACCAAAGCAAAAACAGTCGGTGCGCGACCATCTTGTCAAAAGTGGAGTCGGTGACAACAAACAAATATTGTAAAATGTCCTAAATTGCTAGTAATGACATAAGTCCTAGTTTTCGTTTAATAAAGAATTGTGTTTATTGATGTTAGTGTTGTTTTCCAAGCGGTTACTATACATTTTGCTCAATATTTTCGGGTTTGTGTTGCGTCAAATGACGTCATGTATGTGATTATTATACACGTATCGCGACTGACGAGTTCGTAAGTATTTTCTTTATATTTCTGTACTAATCTCATTAGATTTGCTCTAATAATGTGTGATATTTCATCGTTGGTTAATGTTACTTTCATTCATGAATCGTGTTTTAATGTCGGCTGGCGCTGTTTAGTTTTCTATGTCAAGAGTGTGGAAGTTAGGAATGCCCTTGAAAAATATGCAGCAAAATCGCGTTGTGTAAACCCGATGGAGTGCGTCTGTGGAGCATACAAGTAGACAAACCAGCGAATTTGATTCCATTCATGATGAACGCACCGAAGGTCGACGCGAATGACTGGTGCAAACATTCCGCTTGGCAACGGGTGTCCGCCGCCCGCCGCGCACTTTACTAAAAATGGAACACTCTCGACACGTAGAAAGTATTGTTTTGTACAAAACATTGAAATTTTATAGATATGTAGTAATGTTTGTGTAATAGCGAGCTGCTATCTGAAATGGCCGTCCTGCCTACCTATCGTTTACGTTCGCTTCGCTCTGCATTTTTTTTTTATTTTCCTACACTTTAACATGACTTCGATAACTTTCGACTTTGCAGCTAACGCAACATGCGATTGTCTGACATAGTTATTTAGAATTTAATTACCGCCGAAGTTGTTAATGCTGGTATCTAGTCTAAAACTTTCAATGTAGCAATTTGTAATTATTATTAATTTTCCCGATAGCTATTAAGTAAGTTTTCTGTATTCAGGTTCCTAAAATGTTTTCTTTCATCCGTGTTTGCTTCGTTAATCGCCTCCACAGGTACTGTAAATAAGATCAGATCACAACACATAGGTACCTAATATAAACTCATATTATAACGTCTCAGTACTTTACCTAGTACATAACTTTATAAATTTACTTTGAAGGTAGCTTGGTAGGTGCCTTAGCAGATTATGTTTCTGGTTGAAAATAAAACCAGATAAGCTAGGTCTTCCTGATATCAGTTAAAAGTTCGTGGAAGAAGTAAATTAAATATTAAATGTATATACTAGACTACCAATAATACACTTATTTTTCTTTTTAAAGCGATCTTGCAATTCCTGCAGATAAGATTTACGATTGCTTTTCAATTTATAGATTACCTATAAATTAAAAGTCAGCTAGCGTAGACTTACATTCAATACCTCTTTGAAGTAAAAATAGGAAACGGCAGATTATAGTTAGGTAGAAAAAAATCTATTAGATTTGCAGGTACCTACCTGACGTCACGTCGATCTATCCATACCTACCCAAATAGATAACTTGGCTTTCGTCACGTAATTATTTTGTTTCGAAAGCAGTTTAATAATTACGTGATGCTATAATACTTACTTTTACCGAATACCACCGGAAGCATTATTTTCCTATCGGTTCTATTTTGTTTTCATCTCTGCAACTAGATAAACGTCAGGAGTACAGAAATGTTTATTTTGATGAGTTTTCATAGAAATGTCAGTTTGGGTGACTAGATTTCACCAAGGTTTACCTATGAGCAATTAAACAAGTTTCTGAAAATCTGTATAATACCTTCCTGTCTCGGCTACTTAATAGGTCAACTATTCGGTAAACCTCACAAACAATGTACCTATTAAATGCATAAAAGTGTTCACAGTAAATGAAATAATCAATTAAACTGGTTTTACGATCCATTATTTGAATATATATATAATTACTTCGTCATTAATTAATTATTATTTTATTATTAGTTATTAATATGTAGTCACTCTCCAGTTTACGTAATGAAATATTTTTAAGGAATCTGTAGAATAAGTGAACCCAACCTGAATGTTCACCTAAATGTTCAGTATGGTGGGTACCATACTGAACATTTTATAAGAATTATCCTGTGACGATGGATCGTGTAGTACAAAATAACCGCTTAAACACCAATATTTTCATTTATTGATAAAGCTTTGAATTTGACCAATTACCTAATTTTCGATAAAAACTTGCCTACTTCCATCGCTACCAACGTAAGTTTGTTTCAAATAGATAATACCTATACCTTATTAAGTTAAGCATTACGTTTACATTGAACATTCAACTGATACAAGGGTCACAATAATTAAAGTAGTTTAGATAACTCACATAGGTACACAATTTACTTTACTGCGAAACATGTTACGGGAATTCCCCATTAGCGCAACCACTAAACAACAATGTATTTTATCAAATTAATGTCGTCTGATACAAAATAGATAACTTATTGCGTTAAATAAAAGCAGCTTTAATCATGGCCTCAGGATTTAAACATCTTACGGTGAAACAACGAACAATGCTTCGACATGTTCATTAATATAGTCAAGAGTAGCTAATGGTGTCGCCATTGGCCGGATTAAATTATAAAATTCCTAAATATAAGGAATATTATTAAGTGTATAAGTATATTTAAATAAAACATGATAAGTATATACTTAAGTATATAATTTAATATCGTTACATATACATATGAGTTTAAGGACGCTCAGTACCCTTAGTACGAGTTTTACAATTACGAAAACTATGATATGATACAAATGATGAACTATGGTTTTCGTTTCAAAAAAAATAAAGAGTGTTTAAATTCTAATTATTTCATTAAATCGTTTGCGTCTTCTTAAATTTTAAGAATATTTGGTTACTTTTCACCAAAATGGACATAGAAACATAATTTACAATTACGAAAACTATGATAGTTTTGGTGAGCTTAAACTCGTACTAAGGGTACAGAGCTCCAAAAAGTGATGAACATGTACCTATTAAATTATGTTAGGCGTTTCGGAACATAGACAATTCAAGTGCAAAGCGAGTCTCCAAGTTCGCATTTTCAAAAACGTATTTCAAGCAAATCAAGAAAATCGCGTCTTTTCATGATATGTCTGGGATGACATTATGCATGTCATACGATATCTTTGCCGGCTGTTTTGAAATAAAATTAGCTTAAAATTTAATCAATCAAACCGTCTTACTTCTGTTTGGTCAGCTCTAAAGCTTAATTTTTAATAGAAAACCTATTAAAGGTTTAGGAAGGATATTATATAAGTATTTATTAATTTATATGATAAATTAATAATTTGCATACAAAAACTATCCTCTGCATGAGCTTCATTTGTCTTACTTGTATTCAAGATGTTTGCCAGGTCTTCAGTTTTAACATATTCAGGAAATGTGTGTGCTGTCAAAATTGTTATTTTTATTATAGATATCTCAACACAACAGTGCTTTGATAGCTAACTTTTTGACACCATAGTCACTAACCGCGTCTGGCCGACTGATTGTATGTTCACGATGACATTTTAAACCTTTTTATAATTGCATTTTTCACCATAATTCTTCACCAGTGGCGTAGCTAAGGGGGGGCGGCGGGGGCGGCCCGCTCCGGGTGTCACCCATTTAGGAGTGACACCCGAGCCCGACTATGAACTTCAGTTATAGTTCCTCCTATAAAAAAATCGTAAAATTGTGGCAGATAGCATACCGCCTCTAATAAAATAATCTAGGTACCTAACTACAATAATGATGTAGTGCTCATTATGGTGCAGTAAAAGTATTGACTGAAAATTTTGATGGGATTATATCTGAACCAAGGCTCAAATTTAGACACTAGAGGTGCTGCACAAAACCTTTTCCCAGCTGTGTAAAATTTCTCATTTCTTTGTTATCTTTTCTTTTGGAATGATGTGCTAAGGGAAGTGAACAATGCTCAGATTGCATTACAAAGTAAAGGCTTATGTATTGATCAAATAGCCATAAAACTAGAAGCACTTCGTCTTTTCATTGGAGAGAAACGGTTGCATCTAGTAGAAGAGGTAATAGATTTTGCTGTACAAAAAATTGGAAGAATACGACATTTCGATGGAACGACGAATTCGTGGCAAGAAACGCATGCCCGGTGAGTTAGCATCATCCACCGATGCTGGACTTTCACTTAGAGCGGAACTTCAAAAGGACATGTTAGAATGTCTTGACAGATTCAATATTGAACTCGGAAAAAGAAGAGCCCATTAAAGACGTATCTTCATTGTTTGAGGTTGTGCAGTCAAAGACTTTGCTTTTGGCAAACATTGAACAGTTAAAATTTGCTATATCAAAATTTACTGACCTTTACGATGAGGTATCAGGAACAGAACTCCTCTTAGAGATACCAAGATTGAGAAGAGATCTAAAAGCGGCTAATATTTTTGTTACTAATTGGGTGACTGGACTATTCCAAATTCATTGTGGAATGGGATTTTAAAGAATCTCTTCCGAATCTAACGGTCGCACTAAACTTATTTATAACAATATATGCATCAGTTACTTCATGTGAGAGGAGTTTCAGTAAATTAAAATTTATTTGCGGTCTACAATTACTAAAACCAGATTAAACAATCTTGGTATATTAACGATAGAACATGAAACAACACAAAATATAAATTTTGAAGATGTGATTTCGGAGTTTGCAAGTGTGTGTATGCCACAAGGAATACATTTCAATTTTTAACACAAATATTTGTAATACTCGTATTTTAATAAAAAGAAAATTAGTATTACTTTTCTTTAATTTAACAGTTTTGATTGAGTTTTGGGGTGACACCTACAAAATCCGCCCCGGGTGCCACCCATGCTAGCTACGCCACTCTTCTTCACGCAAGGTTTTAGTAGGCCTATTTAAAATGTACAATAAACCCGAGAAAACGAAACTACACCGAGGAGATGCGAAGTATATAATCACAAGTATATAATCACAAATATATAATCACAGTATACATGTAACGTTGTAGGAAAAACGTAACTTGTCATTGAACTTCCATGGAACTGTCAGGCAAGTGATAGCTTTCCTTATGACTGTGGCAGCTCCTGCGGTATGTCGTTCCTCGTACATTTTGTTATCATTTCACATATTAACGGTAATGCTGTACGAGTGAATGGAAAAGAAATAGATCTAATATTTAATTTTAACCCCAGGATACATTGTCTTCTACAATTAAAATTAAGGAAAATGACTGAGCATCAAATAATTGATAAGTTCTGAATCCGCATAAACCAAAGTTCATCTTATTGG